AATATATATATATATATATATATATACTTGATGAGTATTATTTCGAGCCAAAATAAGCCGAACACGAACGAACACATCTTAGTTCGTGCTCGGCTTGTTAACTTATCGAACGAAATTAACGAGCCGAACACGAGCTGTTCGCGAACAACGAGCCATTTTGACAGCCCTGGTTTTGATAGAAAACTTCTAATAAAAATACTCATTAATATATTTTTAAAATTTTTATGTATTTATCTATCTCACACTCAAACACTTATTTTTATAAATCACTTAATTTTTTTCATTTATAGGCAGAGTTCTTGGTTTATAGGCAGTGTGAGAGACTTTTTATGTAAATTTCTATTTATTTTATTTAGTTTGATTGATTTTAAAATATATAATCTTTATATTTAAAACTATTTTTTATTTTTGGAAACTTTACCCATTCTAAAAACCTGTTTGTTTGCTGTAGCGTCTGCTGATTGTTCAAATATTTTTCGGCTATAAGTTGATCAAATCTGTTCTCGCCAGTGCTGCGAAGCCGACTATGGCGAACTCATACCAGATCTCCAAAATGGCGATCTCCTCAGTTTTACTTGCCTGCATTCCCCTAATTTTAAGTCCCGCATTCGCCGTGGATAGCAAGAGTAACTCTCTCTCTCTCTCTCTCTCTCGTGCGCGCGCTTCTCTTCACTGCTTAATACAGGAAGTCTGATCAGGTTCTATGTCTGGCTGTAGATCTGGGCTAGATCTGCGGTTGTTTAACTAAATCCGTTTCACTTTTGCTGTTATTTCACTTATCTTTCATGTAAGAGCAAGAATACCACTGTTTTAGTGACCACGAATTGTCGGCTTTCAGGTCCGGGTCTGTCTATCTACTTTGCTCAATGCGTGGTAGTGGCTGGGACCTGGCTGAATTACTAAGCCTTCGTTGTTCTGATGCCTTATTTTTTTATATGATTAATTCATTAGGATGTCCAAAAATGAGGCTTTCTTATGTAACAACCGTCATTTAATTTGCTTGTTATTGTCGGCGAGAAGTTCGGGATGAACTGGTTTTGATCCGTTATATGTTAGATTGTAATTGTGATTGAAAAGAAAACAGATTAAAAAATGTGGATTGTGTGATGAGGAAGGTTTAAAGGGAGATTATGATATACTAAGGTGCCGATTGATTGGATGAGCCAGTTGAAGTGCTATCTTTTTGTGTTTGACAGGATATGAAGTTCAACGCTTTTTAGTGTCGTAGTATGGATATATGAAAAGCTGTGAAAGTTCCTAGTTTTAAGAGAAATGCAGTGAGATGGTGTGCAGAAGTGTTTTTTTTTTTTTTTTTTGTTTAGGAAGATTTACATACATACCACTCAATTCCTATGTATATATGGATGATGAAAATAAGTTAATACTCATTAAATCTAACAATAATAAAGCATGCATTTACCTTAACACATCTTCAAATTTTATTTTGTATTTGTGAGCTAATAAAATGGCTCATAGGTGTTACTATATAAAACTAGATCTCCAAATGTATGCAACATATATATCTCCCTAAATGCTACCCCATGCTAAGGGGATTGATTTAGGATCCTATCAAAATCTTATGGCTCCATCAATCCTAGAACTTTACTTGGTGGGCTCTAGTCTAAATAAAATTCAGCAGTAAGTTAATAATATTGATGTAATAACTACGTGCATTAATTTTGAGATTTGCTTGTGAAGCTTATTGAGAATTTGAGTTCTCTCATTTGAGAAGATTCGATGAATTCATGGTGAAAATATGCCAAGTCATGATTTTTATACAACTTGTGGTTAACAATATTGATAGAAGGCTATTTGTGCTTAGTTGATTGAATGATTCAGAGTACTGGGTGTGACTAGGTATGGTTCAGAGACACTGGTATGATCTATAACGATCGATAACTTAAAAGGCATAACATGTCCAACATAGTTATTTTTGTTGCCATGTTTAATGGAAAAATGGTTGTTCTAGAGCATTCATGGTTTGTTTTCAATGGTTCATATGATTTGATTGAGGTACATTTACATGCATAATACCCAATTCCTATGTATTTACATATATAACTCGTAAACTTTATGAATCACATTTATACCGCCCAAGTCTTTCATATGAGAGCAAAAATACCACTATTTTAACTTGAGAGTGAAATAAACGTTTTCATGCATGGGTAAGGTGGAAAATAAATAAAATTGAAATTTAGGTGTTAGATGTGAAAATGCATAAGAATTGAATATGTATGTAAATCTTCCTTTGCTTTATTGTGTGATGGCATGAAGCTAGGAATCTGTTAACTCATGGCACTATATTACCCAAGTCCGGGTACCCCCAACATGCATATTGGCAAGTGCTCGGTACTTAAGAACATAAATCCAATAATAATAAATTTAATTCACATTTATTTTTAATAATTAACCAAATACTTATGGAAAGAGTTAGTTATCCTAAGCAAAACTTTAGATACATAACAAAAAAGTAAAACAAAAAAAAACTCATTTATTTTTGTTTGAAGAGTTGTCATTATAACCCTATTTGAATTCAACAATAATATTTTTATTTCTATTGTGATTTGGGTTAACTTCAATATCGGTTTGAGCTTAACATGAATTTTGTTTGTAACAATTGTTTGATGCATAATTTTATTAGGGTGTCTTTTAGATTTGCCACAAAATTTAAATTTTATGGAACCTTGGCTCCAAATTGAGAGAATAGACTCAATCCGATTATTTAAGCTTTAGGCCTTCAACTTAATGAAGTTGGAAATTTATTACTAGGGCGTAGAGAAGGGCTACTATGAAGATTTCAAAAATATCGACCCTCAATTGCACTCTAATATGATATAAACTTAGAGTTGCAATTATATATTGGGGTCTTAGCTAATGACTTTTAGGAATGTATTACGTTAAAAGTAGGGTTGTGTTAGGGTGGAACCTTCGACCTTAAAATTTCGGGCCTTGAATCTAGTGGCAGAGTACATACTTTGTTATGAAATTCTTGAGTTCTTAGTTTAAGATATTTATGAACTTATTATAGCTAAGGAGGGTTAATTAGAATATAGCTTAAGCTAAATCTAGGAATTTTAGTAGCGTGGAGCCTTAGCTTAAAGCTAGCGAAATAGAACTCTGGTTTTAGCCTTAGCTATAAATTTTCAGTACAAATCTTAAATTGGCTATGAGAAGTTTTATTAGGTAGTGCCCTTAGGTTGACTGAATGTATTTAAGATTTTAGTTTGGCTTTTGAAGCGATTTTTGGATTGGATTTGAGGATTTTGTAGCTTTGTACGTTAGCCCAAAATTAATTGAATAAATGAGGCATTAGCTACGTAATCAAGCGCTCAAGAAACTTTGGTTGCAAGTTGCCTTATACCCATGATGAATAAATATATATGGGGCTTGATAATTTATCTACTAATTTCAACGTTTAGCGCAGATCTTGAGGCATTTTTTTAGCATAAAATATTCTGATTCAAATTAAAAATCATCTAGAGCTTCAATTTCAGCAAGCTTATAAACTTCAATTCTAGCCAATTAAGGCCTGATCAAGTCTTTAAATTACTTTTGGAGGATTTGGGTAGTTATTTGGATGGTCAAATAAACTTCAAATTTGATTTTTCAATAGTCAAATCGAGTGTCTTGACGAGAAGAATCCAACGAGCCCAATATCACTCTATTTCGAGGTAATTAAAGGCCCTCAAATCATCAAAAAACGTTCTATGATCAAGAGGAATCAATGTGGGTCGTTCGATCAAATGGTTATGAGAGTTATTAGTCGAATGACGAAAACGTCTCTCCCCCGAAGCTTATAAATAGACCCCTCTCCTCAGTTAGAAGGGGAGAAAAAGAGGAGAAATAGTTAAATTCTAGACTGAAGGCTCGACAGTAACTTTCGATCTTCATATTCGTCGATTGCCGACTGTCATTGACAGACGTCGGTCGCCTCTTGCTCGCCGCTGTTGATGAATCATGTGGTGTAATGAAGTACTCCAAACACGATGTAATGAAATATCCTGAGTACTATTCAACAACATTCTTAACACTGTGTATTGAAGACTCTGTTCTGTGATAACTCTCGATGACAACTATTTTAGATTATTATATTCAAAATAATATTTCTGTATATTGCTAGGTTCTATTCTCCCTTACGAGGAACTATTTGTAGTTTCGATGAACTTGTCAGATTCTTTGTATTGCAATTTATAGAGAATTGAAGGATTATCAACGTTTTTTCTCATCTTTCTAAAATTCATGAATAGGAAGGAACGCCACTTAAAAAAAATATTTTCAAAGATTCTTTTAAAGATTTTCTACTAATGCTTGTCAAATTTCAGGAGTAGATCCAAAGTTATTTAACGGCTTTTTCCTAGGAGATGGGATTCAATCTCAATATTGTTTTTTTTACTATTTAAAAGTGCATTAAACAAAAAGATGTATTCACTTAAAGGAAGAAATTAAATGTTTGATACATTAAGGTCACCTGGGCTATTATTTACAAGAATGAGGTAAGGATGAATAAAACAAAATTATCGAAATTATTGAATGAAGAGTATAACTTCAAACTATCTTATCTCTACAAAAGATTTATTGTCCTTATCATTGTATGAGAGTTTTTAATTTTATTTATTAAAAGAATTTCTCTGTTGTTATTGTTGTTACTAGTAAAAAACTACTATTTAGTCAACTTTTTATCAATGAAATTTTTTATTATCAGTGAATTTTTTTATGATATTGTCTATTGTAAGATCTCTTAAGGGCAAGTAGTAGACATAATCTTTGCTTATACCCCTAGAAGACGTGCTCATGAGGTAATCTCGATGGAAGCTAGTAGTAGACACAGTCTTCACTAGAAAGGCCCATTGAGGGCAAGTGGTAGGCACAGTCTCTGCTTATACCCCTGAAATAGATGCCAATGAAATAATCTTGATGGGAAGCTAATTGTAGATATTGTCCTCACTAGAAAGACCCCTTAAGGGCAAGTGGTAGACGCGATCTCCTCTTATTCCCTTGAAAAATACATTCATGAGGTACTCTCAATGGGAAGCTAGTGGTGGACATGATCTTCACTAGAAAGACTCCATGAGAGCAATTAGTTGACATAGTTCCCACTAAAAAAATCTCAGAAGGCTAAAAGTCTTAGAAGACTTTAAGTCTCATCAGGTACAAATACACTTAAAAATATATGAAGGATACAAACATCAGAATGTGTAAGTCCTAAAAAAAATTCTCATGAGGCTATAAACCTCAGAAGATACATGTACACTAAAAAATGTCAGAAGATTATAAACCTCAGAGATATAGACACACCAAAAAATCTCAAAATATTATAGGTTTCAAAAGGTATATGTACACTAAAAAATCTCAAAAAATTATAAGCCTCAGAATGTACACGTATGCTAAAAAAATCTCAGAAGGTTATGGCACACTAAAAAATCTCAGAAGACGACAAGCCTAAAAAGGTACATGTGCTCTCAAATAAATTCAGAGAGATATAACATTAAGAAAGTGCATGTATACTTAAAAATTTGAAAAGACTTCAAGTCTCAGAAGTTACGATTATACCTTAAAACTTTAGAATGTACAAGTGTTAGAAGATACATAATTTTTCTGTATGCAAAATACATGCACTAACTTTGAT